TATATATATATATATATATATATATATATATATGCCTTACTTTTTTCTTAACTAATCCACGATTTTAGTTGATAACTGATAAAAAAATATTTCTACTGAATCCGTTTAACTTCCAACTAGCTTGTTGTTAATTGGTTAATCACTAATTAGTTAATCAGTAATTGAACATTTTTCTATTCCTCTTTTCCGGATGATACAGTCAGTAAAAGCGACGGAATTTCACATTGTAATTCAGAAATGTTATTTTTTTTCTCTTTATTTTGACATTGAAAGCTGTAAGTTTTGATAAAGAACTCATTTGGAAATTTATTCTCAAATTCAATATCATCATTTTAATGAGAAACTTGTGGTCTTACATCTTCACCGATCTCGCGAATAATCGTGAAATCACTTATTTTACCTAAATCTTTCCAATATATTTTAGCGAAGAGCGTCGTACAAAAATTTATACTACGTTAGATTAAACTAAATATTGTTTCCTATACTTATCTGACTCAATAATAAGTCTGCAGCTTACACTGCTAAAATTCGGGTCGTGGTAGGTAGAGCAAAGACAGCCCATGGTGTAGCTTTGTGTTTAGAGCAAAGACAGCCCATGGTGTAGCTTTGTATTTAGAGCAAAGACAGCACATGGTGTAGCTTTGCATTTAGAGCAAACACAGCCCGTGGTGTAGCTTTGTGTTTACAGCAAACACAGCCCATGGTGTAGCTTTGTGTTTAGAGCAAAGACAGCCCATGGTGTAGCTTTGCATTTAGAGCAAACACAGCCCATAGTGTAGCTTTGTGTTTACAGCAAACACAGCCCATGGTGTAGCTTTGTGTTTACAGCAAAGACAGCCCATGATGTAGCTTTGTGTTTACAGCAAACACAGCCCATGGTGTAGCTTTGTGTTTACAGCAAACACAGCCCATTGTGTAGCTTTGTGTTTAACAAAAAAAAGAAAAACACAGAAATTTTCATTTTTGTTATTTTTGGAATTTATTATTGAAAACAGATATAAAACTTTGGAGTTTGATAAACGAGTCAATATCATATTAGAACAGTGTTTAATATCTCTTAATTAATAACAAAAAGCAAAACTGGCGATTTTCTTTGGATTTTGGGACAATAATTTATCTGGCAAAAAGTAGAAATCCACAGAAAAATTCTCGAACTGCAGAATTTACGATCTATTAAAAGAACAGTTCTAGCTGAATTTATTCGACTTCATTCAGGAATCTTTCGAATGTTGCAATCGGTTATTAGACGGGAGTGGCCTAATAGTTAGCGTGCCCGGACTATGAATCTGACTGTCCAAGAGCAACCCAAGCGTTGACGGTGGGTAAAGTTGCCTTTCCTCTAGTCTACCTGTTCAGAATTAGAACTGTGCGCAGACAGCCCTTGTGTGGTTGTGCGTTAAATTTCTGAAACAAACAAATAAGTAAGGGTGGCCCGGCATGGCCAGGTGGTTACGGCGCTCGACTCGCAATCTGAGGGTCACGGGTTCGAATCCCCGTCACACCAAACATGCTCGCCCTTTCAGCCGTGGGGGCGTTATTATGTGACGGTCAATCCCACTATTCGTTGGTAAAATAGTAGCCCAAGAGTTGGCGGTGGGTGGTGATGACTAGCTGCCTTCTCTCTAGTCTTACACTGCTAAATTAGGGACGGCTAGCGCAGATAGCCCTCGTGTAGCTTTGCGCGAAATTCAAAACAAACAAACAAATAAGTAAGGCAAATTAAGAAAATTGAAAAGAATATTTGAGAGTCTCGATTCGTATCCATGGCAACCGTCACGCGTAAGAGATGAAAAGCACTTACTCTTATACTATTACAGTGTACCAGAAATTCTAGAGATGCCGGAGAAGACACGTCCAAAACACTAATATGTGATCCAAAATCATATCTTTGAACATGCAAATTTAATGATCAATTTTTTTTTCTTCCCTCTGTACATCTTCTCTACATTATTTTCCTCTCTACAGCCAAACGCAAATGTTACAGGAAACGGATTTATATGTCCGTCAGTGATCGTAGGCAATAACTGAATGCGGATGAACACGTGTGTGTTAACTTAATTTAAACTGTATATACTCATTAATTTAGGTTTATAAAAAAAAAAATATTAAACGTTCATTTCCTTTTCTTCTCATAGATCTCAATAATAAAAATAGGAAAAAAAAACAAGACGTGAACAGATTTCAACTTAAAACTACGTTTTGGTTCACTTAGTAATTAATTATATCTACGTTTTACTGTTCACTAAGTATTCATTTCGTTGGATAATAAGAACGAAACTTTTATACGAAAGTTAGCAAAATAGTACCTACCTCATTATTAGAAAAACTGTTATTTTGCTAAAAAATTAGGTTTAGTTCTTTTTTAATTTGAAAATTAAAAATCAATTCTAATATTCAAAATTTCGTCACATGAAAAACTTATCATGGTGTTTTGAAGTATATTTCTGTTCACAATATAAATTATACTATTTAGCATATCGGATGGCATTACTTCTTATTTTAGTTTATAATCTATTATTAAAATTTTATTATAAAAACTGCTTTGTATT